GCCCCCGCGCCTCGGCCCCGAACTCCCGCTGCCTTACCTGGATCGGATCTCCCGCCTCGTCCACTGGAGGGAAAAGACCCAACACGCCTGCGCAGTGGCCGTTCGCACCCGGCAGGCCTGGAAGTTGAAGCCGTCGCTTCCTATTCGCCGGTTCTCACCCTCGCGAGAGAAAGTGGCGCAGTCTCATTGGTCCGAAAGGATCGACAAAGGGGGAGGGCGGGACAACGGCTGAGCGCTGGCTTCTGATTGGCCCCTTGCTTTCCGCCCGTAATTGGTAGCTTGGGGCTTCTTTTCCGCCCTCTCGCGGAGCTTTTCCCCTCCTCGTGTTCGCAGGCCTCAGTTGGTCGTGGGAGCGCTGTATCCGTGACCCGATAGGGGACTCTTAGTGGCAGAATTCCGTCACCCTTAAGGGATGCTATTCTAGCTTTCTGCCAGTCCCCCACCCTGCCCCATTTATCCTCATGCCTTGTGAGAGCTGCCTTGTAGCAGGGTCCCATCTCCAGCCCGTCTAATCTCATTGATATGGCTGAGGGCAAAACCCCAGGATGCCACCTTCGGTGCCTTTCTGAAACAACCCTTGGATGATGCTGGTTTTTAAAGAGCTGTGCCCGAGTCCACAGTCATTGCCAGAAATGGTTTAGGCTCAGGAATCTCAACACCACCACCACACAGCCTTGGCCTGGAAGATAAACCCTAACAGAACACTGAGAATATTGTGTATTTGTTGCCCTTCCCTCCAATGAAACATCTTTCTCTCCTTTTAGTTCCACAGGAGGAATAGGAAGGGGTCTTGCCTGTTACTCGTCTGAGTGAACAGCCCTGGGCCAGGGAGTCTTACCTCTCTTGGGATAAGACACCTTCCTATATCCCCGTGTTAAAGGTTACTCCGACAGTGTTGTTCGGTGGGACACCACCAAGTTAGCAATAAACAGGAACAAGGGCATATCGTTTCTGGCCTTTATTTCTGAAGCTGAACACAAATTGATTGTCATGCCATGTGCACTTGGCCACAAAATCAAAGTGGAGGAGTGTTCTTTCTGCTCTTAATAGACACTCATAAACTAACTAGCAACACAGCACATTTTGTACCTCCTAATGAGGACAAAAGACCTGTCTATCCAGGGCGATTGTTTACACTCACAGGCAAAGGACAGGATTTAAACATTTACTGTCTCTTCAGCTGGTCTACCTTCCAACTCCCTGAGGCACAATCCAGGCCATTAACATCACAGGAACGGAGGCTGCCCTTAAAGCCTCTGCTTCCCAAAGTCCTCCAGTCCACAGAAGGGATTGGTCAACGGACTGAAGCACCCTGCCGTCTTGACCGCCCCAATTAATGCAGGAAGCCTCGGTGCCCACTCTCTTCTGCAGAAGGCCAATGGCTAGGGTCTGTCCACATCAAGACAGCAGGAGGAACTGATCAGTCCTTTGCATCAAGCACGCTTTTCTCTCTGAAACTGAGGGTCAGAGTTCATCCATCATGGCCAAAAGATCAGCCCCTTTATTGATCTTCTGCTCAGGCTGCTCAGCCACCTCAAACTCTCCCATGATGCGAGCCAACTCTTCATTACGCTGTTGGTCCTGTTTAAGAAAGAGTTGTGTTATCGCAACAAGCTACTGATGGAAGTTTAACATTAAAAAAAAAACATGATTTTTTTGTGGAAGCCAAAAACTCATATGCTAAAATAACCAAAACAGACCCATCTGGAAAGAAACACTGCATTCCTGTTGTGTCTTATTTGTAGGACCTGACACAGCACCAACACTCTGCACCAATGAACGTTCCTTTCATTTTTAGCTAGGAAACCACATGGCCTCTCTTACCTGCCATCCCATTAAAAGCTACAGAACAATAACAATGTACAGTACCTGGTCTGCGTGTATATTGATTATTTGATGCGGCGACTCCTCTGGATGGGTCAGGGCTGCATGCCTTGAAAGAAAGAAGGAAAGGGCCAGTATTGGTTGCCATTTTGGCTAGTGGGATGTCTCAAAAATGTTCTGTTTGGCGGGTTGCAAGAGCTGACCACTTTGTGGCTTGTAACTTGCTCCTCATATTAAAGTTTCTTCCAACTAACGTTAAACTACCGACTATTAGCATTACTATACTTGAGAAACCTCCTCTGCCATGCCTTTGATGAGTCAGAGGATGTATCCTGGAAGGGGTCCCACCTCTCTCTCTATCTCTGTGTGAGTGTGTGAGAGAGTGTGTTGGGGCCTCATCTGTAGCCCCCTCCCAAAAGTTCCGTGTGGACCAACGTGGCCCTCTCTAGCTCCCATGACAGCCCTCCCCTGACTGAAATGCACCAAAGGCCTCTTTTTCCTCGCACCCTCAAAAAACCAAGCAAGAGTGGGCATACTCTTCCTCCTCCTCATCCGTGGTGAAGAGATTGAGACGGAAGCCAGCCTCCTTGCCAACGGGTGTCTTGACCTCCAGGCCGCCCATCAACTTCGCCAGCAGGTTCAGCTCTTCTTTCGCTAGAGGGTTGGGAGCCGTGTTCTCCTGCATGGGAGCAAAAATGGGTCTCTTACAGTAGCACTGGAATGGTTCTGCTCACCCGGGGGGGGCACTTCCCCCAGGTCGAAACAAAAACAAACTGCCCCATGGTTGGGTGCGAGGTGATTCTGCATCTCACATGTGGATTGGAAGGAGCTTTGCAATGGCCAGTTTTTGAATGGGGATAACACTAGGGCGGAATGGAATTTAATAAAATCCTTCTCAGAATGCTTGGGACTGCGGAAGCATCTTTAATAGGGATCATTCATTTCCACCAAAGTTATATGTGGCACCTCCGCAAAAGAGAAACATGCCATTGCCACTATAGGTGAACTCAGTTCTTTGAATTTCATATTCTTTACTGTTGAAAAGCATGTGACTTAATGGAATCTGAACTGTGTGAGACATTTCAGTGCCAATGATGGAGACTCTTAATACTGAGGCTCTCCCCCTTTTGCCGTTCTAGAGATCAGCAATTTTTTGTAGTTTCTTTGCAGCCGATGATCAAAGTACCAGGCCTTCCTTTTCCTACTGCCCTGATTATCTAGGAATCCTCCTAGTTCCAAAGTGGCATCTCTGCTGGGCTGACAGGAGTTGCCGCCTGCAGTTCACTGCCGCAAGGAGGCTGAAGAAATAAAACCAAAGTGGAAAGGATATGCGAGTTCTGTGGCATGTGCTTACAACACTCAAGGGGTACCAGATGTGGATCTTGAAACAAATGTGTAGCCATGTTTCTGTACACAACAGTGCTTATGAGGGCAAAAGACAGATACTGACCTTTACATGGGATGTCAGTGTTTTTGTAGCCCCCGACGTCTCTGTCTCCACAGGCCGGCTGATGCTGTATCTAGAAGGCAACGGGTAAAGCTTAACACCACGCAAAAGAAAATCTGCTCAAAAGCCGGCAACTGAAAAGTGGCTTTCCACACCGTCTCTTACATGTTTGTTCCCAGCTTAAGGACTCTGTCTCCATGGAGGTCAAAGGAGCCTTCCCGATATGGAAGAACGTAATTCCCACCGTGGGTGAACTCCGTTCTTTGAATTTCATCCCCCTTGCGGTTGAAAAGTCTGTAAAATTGCAAAGCAGAATCGTCAACCAAGTACTTGGTTATGGTGCTCTTTTACAAGAGCATGGCGTGGGAGGGGGAAAGGTCTCCCATTTTCTGACACAGGCACGCAACAGGGTGGTGCTATGGCAGAGGAGAAAACCTGGCCAGCTGTTAACAAACAACTATCCCCATCATACGTCATCCCTGGCTGGTCCCATGGCTGACAGGACTTGGGAGTATAAGAACGCCAAAGGGCCCCTGGCTCAGTGCTAAGGGGTGTTCGGGTAAGGAGAAAGACTCAGCGAGGGGCACTTGAGCTTTCCACTGGCTACTCATGGAAAGACAGGGCCCCCATTCACCTGATGACTCCTGGAAGTGCTGTTCCCCAAGGAACTGGACCGGATGTCGGCAGGACAAAATGGCCATTGGAGTTCTGTACTTTATCTTTCAAGAGAATCGACACCTAGGTAGGATCGGCCACACAGCTTCGTTAGTAAAGCAGGTCTACCAAGAAATCATTGATCCCCAAGCCACCCGATGGTCACATAATATCATGCAGCTTCACTGATCTACTATCACGAGCACTTGGACTGAGGGGGAAACACACCCACCCTGATGTGTATGTCCTGAAAGAAGATGAGCAGCGTCTGCCGGATGAGCTGAAATTCACCAGCAGAGCACGAGCCATAAGCCTGGAAAAGAGAATCGGAACACGACATCACCCTGTTGTCACTGTTTGAGCAAGGAAGAATATCATTAGTGCTCACATGGGTGTAATCCTGATAATCAGACATCCTTGTAGTCTATTTCTTTCTTGGCTGGTTGGCTTCTGCCTTATGCTGGATAAATCTGCCTATTCACCTGCTTTCAACACAGTTTTTTCTGCATTCATTTGCTTTGCCCTCATTTGTCACCATCCTCAACAACGCATTGCTGCACAAACTTTTGAGCAAAGCCTAATGATAATGATGTGCTCTTACATCAATCAGCCTTCGGAAGGTTACATCAACTTGGGTTAGAGTTTTGGGCGATTCATAGATGAACTCCTTGATGGCATCCAGGTGGTTGAAAGTGATGAGCAGAATGTCTTTGGGCCGAGGACACAGCAGAATTTGGTATTTGAAAGCCATGGTCATGAGGTCATAGAGCTGCAGAGGAAGACAAGTGGCATCTCATTAAACCACAGAGCCTAGGGTTAAGCTTTATCAGGTGCTAATCACAAAAGCTACCATACGGTTGGATCAGCATATCTTCCGTAGTTTAATAACTGAAGAAGATGCCTACCTGATGGGCAACACTGAGGCCTTGCTGGGTCTCCAGAGTGGAGTCAGCTGGGCAGTCCACACAGGTTGGAGGACTGGTGTGTTGATGTGTGTGCTGTCACAGTCTACATGTAAATCACCCCTCTTACCATGAAGACCTTAAGGATAGGTAGACACGGTGGGTGAATCATCCACTCTGTGGCTCAGCTACTCTGAGGACATCTCCAGAGGGATGAATCCAAGACAGACCCTGGGAATGCAGTATCCCTGCTGAGGCTGCCTCTAGGTTCCTAGTTCAGAACTTCATGGCCCCATAGAAAATGCAGAGTACCTTCTTGATCTGCCTGGGTAGTTGAGGTGAGTGGCTTGGAAATGGCCTGGTGTGGGTGAACAGCAGCAGCACCAGGAGGATCAATTAATTTTGTTGCTGAGATTACAACATGGTGGGAGTGGGGTGGGTGGGGGAAGGGATGCCAACTTAGAGTACCTGTCTAAGCCTGCAGGGAGAGAGGAACTATTCAAATGGTCTGCCTCGACTCACAGAATGCCATAGATTCCTGAATGTTCTGGAGAGTATTTCCAATGGAGAGAGAGCTGGTAATGTTGCTGAAGCCCTACTCTCACTGTGGACTAGAGGAATGCAGCAAGCAGCTGACTCTTTTGTACTTGATGGCCCTTGCTACTCCAAGAACCCTCTTGCCCCTTGGTGAACTAGGGAGCTTCAGGCAATGAAACGAACGATCTGGCTACTGTGCCAATAGCAAAAGGCCTGCACAGATGTGCACCCATCTGTCAGGGCATGGCAGTGTCGCTAGCAGACACCTCACTTTGCTGCTTGTATTGCAGCCTGGGGAGTTTTTCTGAATTATCAGGGAGCTATTAATAACCCTCTTGTCAAGGGAGTGCCTGACCTCTCAAAAATGCACTGTAACCTCCTTGCCTTTTGAGGACAAAACTACTCATCTTTATGGTAGTGCCGTCACTGTAGCTAGCTTTGAAGGATGAAAAAGATGTATCAGGATTTCAATTATGACACCATCATTTTACTAGGAGGACTAAGCTCGCTGCCCATTCCAAGACACGGGCACTGTCTCCTAGTTCCACCTGGACCACATGAACCATGCTTGGAGTCCACCTTAATTCCTCTGGGGAAAGAGAAAAGTTTGTCCTCACCTTGTCCATACTGGGTGCATTCAGCCTCATGATTGAGGCATGAACCAGCCGCTCAAACACGGTCCTCAGGGCCTTCCTGGAATAGAGCTCCTGGGGTTTAAACAGCTCATCCATAAACTTTTTATTGAATATGCCTCCGATGATGTCATTCATAACTGAAAAGAAGAGAAGAACCAACACCATCAGGGAAACACTGGGTATCTTTTAGTCTCACTAGCAGTTGAGGAGAGGACTCACAGAGGAGACTGTGACAGAAGAACTGGGCCATGTCACAAGACAAGTCTCCTCTTCCCTGGCTGCGCTCTCTGACAAACCTTCTTCATTTCAGGATTGATACAGAAGACACCCCAGCTTTCAGTGGCAGTGACTTCCTCAGCCTCCGATGCAGGATCTGGAAATGCTTTTTTTATTATTCTTTTGAAAAATCAGGCTGTCTTCACCACAGCCACCGCAGTTCTGATCACAACAGTGAGAATCAACTGCTCTCACATTCCAAGATGTTTCAGCAATGGCAGTGTTAAAATGCTGGGTGACTGCAATTTGAGATGAATTTTTCTTCTGCATTTGCAAACTGCAATGCATCCGTTTCCTGGAATTGCAGTATAAAGGTCTCCAAATTCACTGCAATTTGACAGAAGAAGAATCACGTCCCCTTGTTCGTTACGTTAACCATTTGTAGTCAGCTGTGCTGCTACACCTGAGAGGATTTCCAATTTTTGGTAGTGAGATTTCCATTGCTGACTGTCACAGGCAGAAATCTTTACAATGGCACTACACAAATACCATTTAAACATGATATATTGTTTCTTTTTTGTTCAATGACAGACAAATATTGTTGCTCACTAAAGACTCCCTTGTAAATGGTATTTGCCATCCTAATGCTAACAAACTGAATTTCTGTAAAAATATATTGTAAGAAACAACTGTGCACCAGAGAACCAGACACAAATAAATAAAGATTCATGAACATGTCCACATTATCTCACTATCAACACCAGATCCTAAATTCCTGGGACGTTCCCAGCCACGCTGAAATAAAATGCAGCCTCGTGGCTACCAGAGAAACTCGGTCTCTTGAGGAGATGACTGATGAAATGCCAAGTTTAAAAACATCAATATGGATCTGTTCCTGGTGCAAGTGGACATATAAATATTTTGAATAAATAAATAAAAAATATAAGACTGTATAACAATCAGCGCACTCCCAAAACATGAGCCACAGGATAAGAGAACAGGCTGGCTCACCAGTCAATTTTAATCTCCCCCTTCTTAAAGGTCAGACAGAGGTCTTTACACCAGTGCCTAACCTTTAGGTTTATCCACATACAAGTGGGGAAGTTCTGAACGGTTCCATTGATCGCAGGAAGGTTCTGCTTGGGTGTGTCTTTTTCACAATGGAAGAGTTGAAAAAAAAGGCAATCCCTTCACAATATGGTTATCGTGCACAATCCTGTAAGCAGCTTATTTCTCACGGGTAGCTAGCGATGCCTTGAAAAACTCACTCCTCAAATTTCCCTCCAGCAAAATAGTATTTTTTTTTAAAAAAAAAGTGGAAGCGTTGTCCTGTTCCCTTCTTATTTATGTGCACTCTTGCACAACGCGGTATGCAGTAGAGACCCTGTACTTAATCTAGCTGTAGATTTTGCTTCAGAAAACCCTATGGGTGTTCATGTCTATTACACATGATGCAAGCGAATGCTTTTAGAAACTGCATGTTGCCTCAGCAGATGTCATGATGCCACAAGACAGCAGTGGCAAGCTTTGGGCTTTATGCAGGAAAGAAAAAAGCTGTGGTCTGGAAGTAGTCTTCCCAGGGCACCTGCCAGCAAAAGCTGGAGAATCAGTGACTAATTCTGCAGCAGGGCAGGGAGAGGGGGAGAGCTGGGAGCAGCCTGACACACAGGCGGCATGCACACATTCTGCCTGCACTTTGCTCACAAACAATGACTGCATAGTACTCACTCATGCAGCTGCATGCTTACCCCTCACAAGTATTTGATGGGGGGGGTGTAGGTTAGCTGATGAAGACTTCAACAGTCCATGGGGTATTAGCTCCAGCCTAAGGCATATTCTCAAAGAAGCGTCTTTCCCTTCAGCAGAAAGTGAGAGTCATTTTCTGTCAGGATATGGATGCAGAAAATCTCAGCCAATATACTGCTTGCCCATCAACTGCTACTCTGACAGCAATGAAGCAGTGGGGGAGGAGCGTGTACGTATGAGGAGATGGGCATCTTGCATGCGGCATGAAAGATGGTGGGTCAATGAGCCATTAACTGTAAAATCATTTGGGGGAGGAGAGACACGTGTTCTAACAAATAAAATAAGTGTTCAAAATAATTTCACATCTTGAATATATCCTACTAGATAGAAAGTAAAATAGTGCAGGGATTTGAAGTATTTAAAGTACACAAGGCAGTCAATATTGGTCAAATATTGGTCCAGTGTTTTTCAAGGACTACAACAAGAGAGTAATTAGATTTGAAACTTATACCAATTACAAAATCAGCTGTTATTTTAAATATACTGTTTTATTACTAGATATGGTGACTAGGATAGCATAGGAATTACAGTACAGTCCAACAACTTACATGGGATCATAAATCACCCACCAAATGCTTTATATACCAGTCAATTGTTTTTGACCATTTTTGCAATCAGCAAATGGCTTTGATCCTGTTTGGTGATGCCTGTTACAACAGATAGTTAAAAGGAGCGGTTTTGTTGCTGGACTTGTCTGTTTAGGCAAGGAAGCAAATGGCCTTTGTCCATCCCCTTTCTAACAAGTGAAAACATACCAAATTAAAAAGAGGCCAGCTACCATGTACATTGAAGCATTACTGTATTGGAATATTCAACAATATTTGACCACTCTCAACTGACAATATTTGATTTGCCTGTTGACTATCACCCGAAATCTAAGACAATTAATGCATTCCAATGTACAAAAGCATCCACCAATGGTTAAAACTCCCCTGTAGCTGTACCCATGGTTTGCAGTCACTTCAGCTCTACAAACGCAAAAGTCCCAGTGCTTAGGGAATCCTTTCTCAAGATATGTACTATGTGTGTCTAGTGTGGAATCTCAGCGCAAAGATGACCTAATGCAGGGGGCTAAGAATGTTACAGTACCTCGTCTCCTGTCCCCATCAGTCCATTCATCTACATGAAGCATAAAATAGAAAAAATGACGGGTCAAGTACTATGAATAACAAACTGACAGCTAGAGTGAAAAGGGGAAATAATGGAGGAGGGGGTTAAAATGGGACCTTTTCTTTTTTCACACTGGCACTATACAGCAAAAGATAAGAGACCTTTCAGTTTATTTTTTATTTATTTACTTATGTATTTGACTCTTATACTGCCCATCTGTCTGCCAGGGCCACTCTGGGAGGTTTACAACTAAAAAAACCCCCAGATAAACAATAATAGAAGAGAGTAAACACAATATCAAAATCAAAATCAAAATTAAACATCAATGAAACATAAACTAGCAACAAAGTAAATACTAAAAAAAAATAAGAGGATTGTTTAAAGGCAAGGTGGTGGAACAAGTAGTATAAAATGCTGAAACTACTACTGCGTTAAGGTGTTGAATATTCCAGTAAAGAAAAGTCATGTTTTAAATGATTATCTGCTTCCAGACCTGTTGGGGTCAGTATTCACAACTGCTCAGCCTGGGAAGATTGCGTAGAAGGGGCAGATTTCATTGGAAGGAGGAACTGACTTTAGATAATAATACAGTTGATTTTAGATACAGTAATGACACTGAAGCAAAGGAAAATACAAGGAGGAAAATACAAGGGCGAAAGCAGAGGCCTGCTGAAATGGGCCCCATGACACTTGAGCTACCCCAGTCCACATACCTTCCTACAAAATACATGTTTTGTGGACATGCAATAACCCAAAAGCTCTACAACCTCTATGGTCTGTTTGCTACAAACGAGTCACAACACTATGAACTTCAGGAAAGAAAGACTGTGCTGAGACCTCCTCAGAGAGACAGACACCAGTGTTGTTCTTATTCTAGAGCAATTCCGTTCTTCTAAGCAAATATAATCTGCACGCAGCCGCTCTATTTTACTACCGCAGGCCAAGAAAACGAGGAGAAACACGCTCGCAGAACCACAAAACAAATTTGATATTTTGCTTATGAAATTTATTCTCTATCCTTTATTTAAGGAGCTGAACCGTTTCCATGAAGTTGTCTCATTTTAGCCGCCAAAAGGTGAAAGATTTAGCTGAAAAGCTTCGTCTTACCCTGTGAGCTGTAGAGCCCTGACTGTATCTATTTTGCAGCTGTAATCACCGTGGGCGTGCATACACACACATCGTACAATAGGTTTGTTCAATAGAAGGCGGCTCAATGCCAACTCTTGATTTTCACGTCCCACCAGGGCATGTCCCCCAAAATGTGCCAACCATCCTCATTCCCCCCCCAGTTGGTTTGGGGGGGGGCAGTTCTAAGGGCTAAACACTCTGGACTTAGATTGATCGGATACGACGGCCTGGAGATGGAACATCGTTTCCAAAGCCCTGGGTCCCGATTCCCTTCTCTGGCTTTACCTTTCCACCTCCACTCCATCCCCAGCCCAGCAGCAACAGCAGTGGTGGCATCTCTTTAAAGGCGAGCCATGGGGCTCATCATGTCCTAAAGATCAAGCAAACTCTTCTCCCACAGGAGGTGGAGGGCCTGGGGGCATATTTCCAGCACACCAAGGAGGAGGAGGAAGGTGCACCCTTAGCCCACACCAACAAGGTCAGAGGGGGGGGGGAAATGAGGGGCCCTTGGGCGCTTAACTGCAGAGGCCACAGGAGGGGAGGGGAGGGGAGGGAAAGGATCCCACGACTGCTCTTAACCCTTGGGCCCCAGGAGCCCTTCTGGAGGACTCAAAAGGCTTGCAGGTTTCGGTGGCTTCGCTGCGGGTTCTAGAAATCCTGGGCTCCGCTGGGCGGTGGGGCTCTCAGGTGCAGGGTCCTCCCCCCCCCACAACACTTCCCACTCGTGAGGTGGGTGGCATCCACACGTGGCCAGGCGTGTGTTTTGCTTAGAAGCGCCTTCCATTGAGAAGGGCGAGGCGGGGCTTGGGAAAGTTACTTTTTGAAGACTACAAACTCCCACAAGGTCAGCCAAACTTCGGGACGTTACTTTTAGCCGTAACTGCGTTAAACGAGGAGAGGGGGAGGGGAGGGCAGAGCTTGGCAGCGTTCCTTATTTGGACTACAACCCCCAGAATCCACCTGGCCAGCGGTAGCCCAGAAGAGCTCCTTTTCGGGGTTTTGACCGGAGTGGGGGTGGGGGGAGCCTTTGCAAACGGTTGGTAG